GGTCATGGGAAGTGGGGTCAAGCCTGTTGCACACAAATGTAAGCCACCCTCTAGCTTCGAAGTTCAAATTCTTCCTCAAAATCATCACCCCCGCCTGTATCCAATCCGGAATAGTACCCGGATGAGCCAAATGCTCAGCCAACCATGGGCGAACCTCCTCCTTCATTGCCAACTTCTCATTGTATTGAGTTTCGTCTTCATCATCAAAACCCAAATATTCATTGAACGCCTTCCCAGAAAACACTATGTTTTTTGTCTCGCACTTTGGTCACAATTGAGCCCTTTTTTGGTGTGGGCTACATTACAATAAAACTCCTTTGCCAAGTGCTCGTTGGCATCTATCAAGTTATCACAAAAATGCTCCCATCCTACTCTAGTATGAAAATGCCTGTGTACATTGGGGAGAAAGGGCAATAGGTCTCGGGTGATTATGCTCCTTTCTGTAATCAACTTTCTTTTAGGCCATAGTTCCCTGAATTTGTGGAAAGGCACCTGGCTAACAAACCGGTCTTCCCAAACCTCAGCTTTTCTTGTTCGTTCGATTCCACCAATCTGGGGCACCCCACTATCCGGAACCTCCTCATCACTATGAGTCCCCACTGCTGCACTCTCCTCAGATACTAAAGCCGTGGGGGAGGTGGAGTATTTGCCGCTGCCCGGTGCTGAGCCATCAGACGACTCAGACTGCACACTTTGTGGAGCTTGGGCTGTAGGTGGAGCTGGGACTGAGGGAGCTTGCCCCGAGTCAGCTGAGAGGTCCTGAGAAGGTAGGTACTCACTCCCCGACTGGTCATCATCACTCACTACTACTTGCTTTCTTGTTTTCAGTTTTGGTCGGGGAGTGAGTTTGGTTTGTTTCCCTTTTCCTCCCCGGGCGGATTCACCTCGTCCGGGTTGCTTTGCACCTCAACCTCTTAGTTTAACCATTTCCAGGAATAAGAAGAATCAAAGCACTTGATGCAACACACAAGAATGTCTCAGATGAACAGTGAAAAATTAGGGTTCAGGTGTTCAGAGTGCAAAAAGTGTAAAATGAGGCCTAAGGTCCCTATTTATAGAGAACCGTGGGGCCCCATACTTACCCACCAGCGCGGCCGCGTAAAAATGACCGCGGACCGCACTAGGTTTATTTTTGAACCCTTGCAGGAAGCAGCCCATGCGGACCGCACAAATGGGACGCGGCCGCGCGAGACCATCGCGGACCGCAATAACATGACCGCGGCCGCGTGAGCAAACTTCAGAGAGCATACATCTTCAGCTTATGCCAGTGCGGACCGCACAAATCCCACCGCGGCCGCACTAGCAACTTCAGAGATTGTGCATTTTTTTATACTTTGTTTTGCACTGCTTCAATACAATCCCTGCAACATCTCACAACCAATTAGCTCAAAAATCCTAATCTACAAAGGAAAGAAAAGAGAAATAAAAAGACATGGGTTGCCTCCCAAGAAGCGCCTGATTTAACGTCGCGGCACGACGCATGTTACCATTAAATCATTTCAAATCAAGAAGCGCCACCACGTGGCTCTCATCAAATTCTCAAAGAAACAAATGAAAGCTCGTCCAGCAAGTTTGTTTACCATCCGATCAATGAATGGCAAGAGTAATAGTCACTGTGGGGCACTTTGTTCAAATTACCATAGTTCATGCAAAACTGCCAACCTGTATCTGGTCTTGTAGGATGCCACACATCATGGAACTTAGGCATCATTTAATGCCCTACTGCAGGTAGTCTTCCTTGAGGCACCAAAAGAGGTGTTGCATCGTCCTCCAAGATAATATCGGGCTCAAAAATTGTGAGGCATAGGTGTGACTCAATTTGTTGCACTTCCAATACCGGAGGCACCTCGATTGTTGCCTTTTCTAGTGGAGTTTCCCGGTGATCAAGGTCTAAGGACACTTTACTGGGTTCACACGATTCCATGACATGTAAAGCATCTATGCACAGGACTCTACTTGCATCATCATTTACATCACGATCTAGGGGTGCAGCCACAAGGGGATCTTCAATAATAACCATAGAACTTGTCTCATCCATTATTTCAGCTGAGACAATGTCAACAAATGAGCATACCTCGGTGCTATTAGGTTGCTGCATGGACTTGCATACAGGGAAAACAACCTTCTCATCACCCACTGGGAATGTCAATTCTCCCGCTTCGACATCAACCAATGCCTTCCCGTAGCTAGGAAAGGTCTCCCAAGAATGATCGGAACTTCAAAGTCCACTTCACAATCCAATATAACAAAGTCGGCCGGCAAGATGAATTTATCAACACGGACAAATACGTTATCAATTATACCCAAAGGTCGCTTCATCGACCGATCCGCCATTTGAAGTCGCATTGAAGTTGGCCTAGGTTGCCCAATTCCCAAAGTTTTGGAAATTGAATACGGCATCAAATTAATGCTGCCCCCAAGTCACAAAGGGCCCTAGCAAAATCTGCACTTCCGATAGTACAAGGGATAGTGAAAGCTCCGGGGTCTTCAAGTTTCGGGGCCATAGAGTGAACGATAGAACTTACTTGATGCGACATTGGTATTGTTTCACACTCCATTGACCTTTTCTTCGTTACCAACTCCTTCATAAACTTAGCGTACCCCGGCATCTGCTCAAGTGCCTCCACCAAGGGTACACTGATTGTAAGACTCTTCATCATGTCTATGAACTTTTTGAATTGGTGATCACTCCTGTGCTTTGCTAACCATTGAGGATAAGGTGGAGGTGGTCTAGGCAAGGGTGCTTTGGCTTTTGGCACCACCGGCTCCGGAATATCAATTATGTGCTCCCTAGACGGGTTCACGGCCTCTTGAGTTTCCACCTCGGCCTCATCAATATCTATTCTCACTTCCTTATTCACATTTGTCTCAACCACATCTTCAACAATCAAAGGATCCACAGCTTCTTGGAGCTCAATATCATCATTCACCACTTGATTTTCATTTGAGGCTTGCACATCACCGCCTCTTCCGCTTCTCGTTATGACTGCCATCACATGATTATTACCTCCCTTTGGGTTCACTACCTTATCACTAGGTAGTGCTCCCTTAGGTCGGGTATTCAACGCTTGAGAAATTTTCCCTATTTGCACTTCTAGGTTCCGGATAGATGTGTTGTGTGAAGCCAATTGTGCATGGGAATCTTGGTTCTTTTTCATCATCTGCTGAAACATATTTTCATTTCTACCCAAATCACTACCGGAAGAACTCGGACATTGAGAAGGAAAGGGCGGTGGATTTGTTCGGTTTTTGGTACATGGGGGGCATTTGAAAACCTTGCCCCCGGTTGCCATGATTTCCATTTTTATTCCACCCGCCTTGACTATTGTTGTTGTTCCAATTATTGTTGTTCCCATTCCAATTGCCTTGATTGTTACCTTGATTTCCCCAATTGTTGTTCTGATTGTTGTTGTTCCAATTGTTACCGCCTTGTTGTTGGTTATTGTTATTCCAATTACCGCCGCCTTGTTGATTGCCCCAATTGCTTTGGGGATACCATTGTTGATTCCCTTGATTTCCTCTATTTCCTTGGTAGTTATTGACATATTGGCATTCCTCACTTTGATCATCATAGCACTCATTCGAATAACCACCACCATCATTGTTGTTGTCAAATTGCTCACCATTACCTTGAGGTTGTTGTTGCCCTCTTTGCCTCCTTTTCAACATAGAGACACTCTCCATTGCATTGACTTGGCGCGGGTTTTGGACTTGTTGCAATTGCGCCTTCGCCAATTGATTCATGGTTGTTGTAAGTTCGACAATAGCTTGGCTATGATCATTCAACTCCATGTGCAAATGGATGACCGTGGGGTCACCTTGGGGCACATTCGCTCGGCTTTGCCATGCCGAAGACGTGTCGGCCATTTCATCAAGTACATCACATGCCTCTTGATGAGAAAGTTTCATAAAGTTCCCTCCGGCCAATTGGTTCACAATGCACTGGTTCGTGGTGTTGATGCCCCGATAAAAGGTTTGTTGTATCATCGCCTCAATCATGTCGTTATTAGGGCACTCCTTCACCATTGTTCTATATCTTTCCCAAATTTCGTGCAAAGGTTCCCTTGGCATTTGTTTGAAAGCTATAATCTCATCCCGAAGAGCCGCCATATGACTTGGAGAAAAGAACTTGGCAATAAATCTGTCCGCCAATTCATCCCATGTGTGAATAGAATGATTTGGAAGCCTTTCTAACCAGTCCAACGCTTTACCCCTAAGAGAAAACGGGAAAAGCCTCAATCTCAACGCATCCTCTGACACGTTTGTTTGTTTGCTGCCCCAGCAAGTATCTACGAACCCCTTCAAGTGCTTGTATGCATTTTGATCGGAGGCGCCCGTAAAATACCCTCTTTGCTCGAGCAAGGTCAACATGACATTTGTGATTTGCAAGTTCCCCGCCCGGATTCGGGGAGGAACAATGGCACTCGCGTACCCTTGATTTGGTAGAACTCTTGGGACTGCTCTTGGCGGTGGCGGAGGAGGGTCTGGAATAGGATTGTTGTCATTTGCGTTGGCCTGACGGCCTCTACGTGGAACTTGAGGTGGTTGAACCTCTTCGGGCTCAAGATCATCTACCTCCTCCCCCGCATTCACGTTGCCAAGAGGGTCGTTTGCATTAAGAGCCATAGTACCTGAATGATCGACACAAACAAAATTAGTAAACAAGAAAGAAAGAGAAGCAAAACACAAAACGAGCTAAACAGATAGTCAACACCGTAAGCTCCCTGACAACGGTGCCAAAAAGTTGATCGCTGCCGACTCGACACTACACTAAGGTAGGAAGAGCGGGTTGCAACAGCTTTTACCCGAATAGTGGTTCGGGATCGAATTTCCACAGGGAGCCAGTAATGGAGTTGTATTGTCTGTTTAGTCTAGAATTGCAGTTGTGCTTCCAATATCACTTCTAACATCTTTGGTTTTGATTTTTATATCTACTATTATAAGACTAATGTTTTCTAAATATCAGCTTTTAGTGATATTCCTTGTCTTTGTTTTACTAGATGGCATCTCAAAATGAAGAGAATCTTCCAACATCATCTGCTAATGCTATTTCCTTAGACGATGAGAGTCAGAGGCCTGATGAAGTTGTTGAAATGGGAAAAAGGAGATATTCCCGAGCATGGAATCATTTCGAGCCGGTGAAGTTTAATGGTATTCCATATGGTGTTTGTAAGTATTGCAATCGCCAATATAATAATGCTAGAAATTATGGTACAAAATCTATGTTAAATCACATACCTAAGTGTCCTAATAGGCCAAGAGATGTAGAAAATGAGGGTGATATTGGGGGTGGTTATTTTGGTCAAGAAGTTTCACGTAAACAACTTGCACATGCCATTATTTTACACGAGTATCCACTCTCTATAGTTGATCATGTGGGATTTAGGAACTTTATTGCGAGTCTCCAGCCTATGTTTAAGATGGTTTCCAGAAATACAATCAAGAATGACATAATGAGAATTTTTGACAATTTAAAATCACAAACTTCTAAGTTGTTGGAGAAAGTCACGAGTAGAATTGCAATAACAACCGATATGTGGACTTCCAATAGTAACAAAAAAGGGTTCATGGCTATTACTGGTCATTTCATTGATGATTCATGGAGGCTTCAAAGTCATATTCTGAGATTTGCTTATATCCCTGCTCCACATGATAAAGATGCTTTGTGTGGTGCTTTGATTAATTGTTTGTTTGATTGGAATCTTGAACGAAAAATATCAACTATCATAGTTGATAATTCTAGCACAAACAATGTTATGATTAAAACTTTATTAGATGAGAAACTTAATAAAAAGGATTTGTTGTTGACTGTTCGAGTATTTCATGTGCATTGTGCTGCACATATTTTAAATTTGATTGTGCAAGAAGGGTTGAAGGTGATAGTAGATAGTATTAGCAAAGTGCGTGATAGTGTCTTGTATTGGATTGGATCAGTTGGAAGAATTGAGAGGTTTGAAGAAGCCGCAAGTTTGGTTCACTGTTCTTGTAATAAGAAGTTGGAGTATGATTGTCCTACTTGGTGGAATTCAACATATTTAATGTTATGAACATTTATAGAATACAAAGAGGTGTTTAACAAGTTATGTCTAACTGACACAAATTATCTGTCGTATCCAACTGAAGAGCAATGGAGTAATGCAGAAGATATTTCTGATAAGCTCAAACTTTTTTAGCATATCACTGAACAATTTTCAGGAACTCAATATCCAACTTCTAGTCAATACTTTACAAAAGATTTTAAAATGAAGCTAGAATTGGAAGCTTGGGTGAATGAGTTGAATCTTGTGATTAGCAGTATGACATCTGCGATGTTTTTGAAATTTAAAAAATATTGGGATGATGTGCATATTTTGATCGGAGTAGCTGCAATGTTTGACCCATGGTACAAGATGAGGTTGGTAGAGTTCTTTCTTCCACTAATTTATAGCGAAGAAGCTTCAACTAAAATTCAAGAAATTCCATCAAATTGTTATGATCTCTTTCAAGATTATAAGAGTAAATTATCTGCTCCACATGATTCATTAGCATCTAGTTCTAGAGAAGTCACTGGCTTTACTCAGGGTGATCGGCTTTCGAGCTTTAATAGGTTTGTAGCTTCAACTGGAGCTACCGTGGAGAAAAGATCAGAGTTGGATATGTACTTAGAAGAAGACCTAGTACCTCGAACTCCTTCATTTGACAATTTGAGTTGGTGGAAGACAAATGGATTGAAATTTCCTACATTGCAAAAAATGGCTCGTGATATCTTAGCCATTCCCGTGTCTACTGTTGCTTCGAAATCGGCATTTAGCACTAGTGGGAGGTTGATTAGCCCGCATCGGAGTAGACTCCATCCAACTATTTTGGAAGCTACAGTTAAGTTAACTGTAGCTTCCGCAACCCATGTAAACTCCATACATTATTTTCTCGATGAAGACAAATATTTTATGCTACGAACGTTCATGTTAAATAAATCAAACATTGCAACTTGATTACGAAAGTTCTCTCTCATTTGAATTATTTGTAGTACTGACTTTTAATGTATGAAAATAACAATAATAACGAAGAAAATTTTGGCATTGATTTCATGTGGTTGAATAACAAATTGTCTTCTAATGTTACTGAGAGCCATTTCTGCGTCCATCACCATCTTCGACGATTCTCATGTCAAGTTGGGAAATTAAAGGACATCATTAGATAGGAAATAACTTAACCATACACTTGATATTCATACTAAACCAATTAATGCAAAATATAATCTACCTTATCGACTTCCAGAAAATTTAATATCCGTAGACTTTGTAATAACTATATAGCCTCGAACATTTACCTAATACATTTCATTAGTCCTAGCTCTTAATGCTACTGATATCGCATGTGCACAGTGCACTGAACATATATAATTGGAGGTCTCAGCAGTAATTCATCTATATGAACCACTTGTACATCTTCTGGCTTTAAATAATCTTCCAACTTCAAGTCCACCAAGTAGAAATTTCACATGCATATACTCTGACTTTAAAATATCTTAAACTTCAAATCCTCAAGCAAAAAGAAAGATTTAGGTTCGATAGTGTTGTTACATTTTGATATGACTACTAAACTAATACTCCACATGAACTGCAGGAGTACTGACCTCAATAATATTCACGCGTTATTGAGAATTCTGTATTATAGTTGTTCAAAGGCGTGGGAAGTTGTAAAGAAAAATAACACTGGTTCAAACATTCTGTAGAGATGCCTTGGATCACGGGAATTTCTAGTACTGGTGGAGGCTAAAAGGTAAGCAACGAATTAGGGTACTAAAAATCTATATTATATATTCCTTTAACATTTTCAACACAACACAACCCATGTTGACTTATGTGTAAATGCCTCCGGAATGGAGCTTTGATGGTTCCGATAGCTTCGTGTGATAATTTTGGACTTAGGAGTATGTCCGGATATTGATTTGGAGACCCGTGGGTCTCTTCGGCATGAAGTGATGAATGTTGAAAAGTTGAAGGTTTGGAAGGTTGAGAAGTTTGACCCGGAGTTGACTTTGTCGATACCGGGTGCGGATTTCGGTTTCGAAAGTTGAAATAGTCCGTTGTGTGCAAAACTTGAGGTCAATTGGATTTGGTTTGATAGATTTCGGCATCGACTGTAGAAGTTGGAAATCCATTAGTTTCAATAGGCTTGAATTGGGTTGCGATTCATGTTTTCGATATTGTTTGATGTGATTTGAGGCTTCGACTAAGTTTATATTATATTTTAGGACGTGTTGGTATGTTTGGATGGGTCCGAGGGGCTTCAGGTGTGATTCGAGTTGAAATCAGATTGAATTTAGACTATGGAAAATCTGTTGGGTTCAGTACTGGTGTAACCGCACCTGCATGGAATTAGCCGCAGGTGCGGAGCAGTAGAAGCGGCCAGGAAGGCACACATGCGGCAATTGGGCAAGGCTGGGCAGAGATCGCAGGTGCGAGAATGTTTCCGTGTGGGTAGGTGGTCGCAGAAGCGGATTTTGGACGGAGAAGCTACTGTCGCAGAAGTGGAGAGTGCTCCATAGGTGCGGTCCCGCAGGAGCGGGCTTTGGATCGTAGAAGTAGGATTTGGCCGCACAAGCGGCTGGTCGAGAAGGATAATGAAATTTCGCATGCGAAAGGAATTTCAACAAAAGCGGAGCCGTAGATCCGGTTGGTGAGCCCGCAGATGCGAGAATCGCTGGTAATATAATCGAGGGTTTGAGTCTTTTCTTCATTTTTTGACTTGTGGAGCTCGGCTAGGGGCGATTTTTGAGAGGGATTTCACCTTAATTCAAGAGGTAAGTAACTTTTGATAACTTTTGTCCATTAAAATACGAAATACCCATTGATTTTTCCACCTAGCTTATGTATTTTTGAGGTGAAATTTGGGGAGATTTTGGACCAGGTATTGGAGAGTAAGATTTGGGGATTTGAGGGTCGATTTGTGGTTTTAATTGAATGATTTTGATATGGTTGGACTCGTTATTGAATGGGTGTTTGGATTTTGTGAAGTTTTCTGGGTTCCGAGGCGTGGGTCTGGGGTTGATTTTTGGGGTTGACCTTTTGAATTTGGTTAAAAAACTTAGCTTTATCGGATAGGATCGATTCCTATAGCTTGTATTGATTATATTAAGTTGTTTGTGACTAGATTCGAGTCGTTCTGAGGTTGATTCGCGAGGCAGGGGTTTGTTGGAGCATTGAGTTGTGCACTTTGAGGTATGTAACACTTCTAAACTTGGTACAGAGGGTATGAATCCTTGGAATACGTGTTTTATGGTCGGTGTTGGGGTGACGCACATGCTAGGTGACGGGCGTGTGGGCGTGCGCCGTGGTAATTATGACTCGGTTGATTCTGTGGTATTGTGTAGTTATCTATTCTTGTTTTGTCTGTATAATTCCTACGTGTTAGAGTAATTGAGTTGTGATTCATGTTAGAAATCATGTTAGACTATGTGCTTATTCTGTTGGGACCCACTGAGGTTATTTCTACTGTTGAGTTATTTGCTTAACTGCAATTATACACTCAGTCATGTTTATTCATTTGCATATTATATTTCAGTCTCTGTTGTTATTCACTATTACATCATGTTATCATTATTTGTGTTGAGTAGTATGAGACTTGTGAGCCCGTGAGACTGGAGAGATTGATCTCTGAGTTGGACCAGAGAGCCGGATTTTGTGAGTATTATTGTGGATCGGGTTGTGCGCCGCAGCAGGCCTTATAGGCTTCATATTAGTGCTTGGGCAGGATCCGCGCTTCGGAGTCTGACATACCAGCAGTGAGCGCAGGCACAGTGATTTATGTACATGTGCTTGGGTGAGGGGCATTGATGTCAGGCACTCGTATAGTGCTGAGTGATTGTGTGTGATGAGCGGGAATTGGAGATGGACAAATAGAGTACTCTGAGAGTGTGAGTACCTGGGATTATCACTGTGATACATTACATTTGACATGCATATTTGACATGTAGGCATAGAGATGTAACATTCCTCATGCTAGCTGTTCTTGGCATATTTTTATCAGCGTTTGGCTTAAATTGTTGAACTTGAAAGCATGTCTAAATTTCTATACTTTGAACGAGCTGAATATGGAAGTTTCTCTGAGTTATTACTGCCATTCTCTTTGTTCTATCTGTGTTGTCATTATTTTGGTTCTGATTGTATCCTTCTGAGCGCGCCACTGCTTTCAGCCCAAGGTTAGTCTTCTTACATATTGAGTGCATTGGGTCAGTTGTACTCATGCTACACTTTGCATTTCGTGTGCAGATCCAGGTACATCTGGACGTGGTGATTGCTAGACTGGTGTTAGTACTCGTTTGGAGACTTTGAGGTAGCTGCTATGACGCCCGGGGACCTTGACTCTCCTTCCTTTCATTTTTATTTAGTATTGTTCTACTTTCTCAGACAGTTGTACTAGAGTTTCAGACTATGTTGACAGTCAGTAGCTCATCTACTCGGTGACACCAGGATTTTGTGATGGTTGTAGTTGAGTTATAGTTATTTTATCAGTTCTCTATGAGATTTTTCCACTGTTGAGCTTATTGAATCATGTTATAAATTCCAATGCGTAGTTGTTTTGTGATTGTCAGCTTGCCTAGTAATGTGTTAGGCACTGTCACGACATATTGGAATTTTGGGTGGTGACAGGATTCAACATCATTTTTTACACTTGGGTATAAATATACATGTAAAAAACATTAGGTTCAAATTCTGAACACATATATAGAAGCAATAAATTCAATGCTAACAAATACTCCCTCCGATCCACTTTATTTAATTTTTTGGCCTTTTTTGTGGTCCAAAATATTTTATTTTTTTAGATTTGAAGAATGAATTATTTTTTTTTCCAAAATTGGCACTGGAAATAGTATTGAAGTATGTGTTATATTTATTATCCAATGCAATTGAATTCAAGAGTACTCTGTGAACCGTAAAGTGTTGTAGCCATGTTTATTTCATCATTTTAGGAAATTAAACCTTCTTTTATAAGATAATTTTTGGTGGGAAATATTGAAAATTTTTGGCTCCATTTTGTATTTTTTTGACATTTTTAAATTGAATACATGACAAATTGATTTTTTTGCTGAAAATTTGAAATAGTCTTTGATGCTCACAAAGTTTTCAATGAGTTCTGCCGGTTGCTTCGTTTACCGGGAGTTGCTAATCATCACATCCAAAATTCCAAA